ATACTTTTATATACCTATTCTCAGTTTAGAACATATTTTTAGTTAACCAAGGAGACTTGAAAACGGACATTAGTTACAATGGCTTGCACTTTGACGGTGACGTAATCCCAGAGGCAACTTCAACAAAAGAGCAAGTACAGTACTGAGTACAGAGGTTCTTGCTTTTTTTTTCCTTTTGTTTTTGTTGTTAAGTTTCCTATTCGACGTGTTCTTTTCCACAGACCGATTCTGAGCTTTGTTTTTGTTGTTGTTTGTGTTTGTATTTGTGTTTATATGTTTCGTCGACTCAAAGACTCGGACAAATGACTTCCGTTGTGGCTGGCTACGCTCTCAACATAAACCAACGACGAGACCAGAGCGACACACTGCGTATGCGCAATAAAAATAAATATAAACCGATTGTAGTATATAAATTGATATCTGCTCTAGGTGTGCATTCCCATTCCCATTCCCATCATCTCTCAACGGTGCACCTGTTCTTACACCTTTTCTTGTCTGCAGTAAAGATAAACCCTAGGCTGTATTTCTAAGTACAACAAGGAAAGAGCATTTTCATTCCGAGCTCTCGGGTTTTGTTTGTTATTTTTTATGACACTAGCGGGTTCCTAATGTCGCTTTGATTGGTTGTTTAAAAATCTCCTTTTTTTTTTCTAAATTATATTTTTTATTGATTTATGTAGATTGGGCTTTCGGACGTGTGTAAAAAGTTTTGATTTCGGGCCTTTATTTTTGTTTGAGCTTCCCAAGCTGTCGTCGAGTCTCATTAGATTGTGATTTAAGCTCCATTCGGCACTTTAAACTATAAAACTCCAATATAATAATGGAGCGACTTAAAGACGTTTTCGTTCGTTGATGATTTTCATTCAAAAGTTTTCACTTCCTGGGGAAGAAATCCAGGTGAATGGGTTGGGTGAACCTTATTTGATGGATTATTTGATTCAATCGGTGACAAAATGGAAAACATGTGTTAGAAAATGAGAAAAAGATTTCAATAGGATTACTAAAAGATTTGTGCTACTTAAAATGTCGTTATTCCAGATACGAAAGAAGTTGAGATGCTTACATATTGTATTTGTTACCTTTTTGTTATGAAAAAAATATTTTCCTATTTGTAGCGCTTAAGTGAGCTTTATTTGGGTTTGAGTTTTAAGGTTTCTGATAAGACCGGTGGATGGCCATTGGCCAATGCATCGCTGGCTGTTCGTTGCCCGGTATGGTTGGCTTATTGCTGTTCTGATTGTTGTATAATTCTCTTTATGCAGTCCAGCGGACTGTCCATCAAACGGCACCGTCACCGGCAATTAGATGAATAGCTACCATTGCAGAAAGTGGTCAAACTCAGAGTCTCAGTCGCCGACTCAGACTCAGACTGAGACTTCGAGTCAAACTAAAACGCGAGTGTGGAATCAGTATTATTGCTTTGGCTTACATAAAAGGCCATAAATTAGTCACTTAACCGCTCCGACTGATGCGGCTGCTGCTCCTGTTTGTTATAAGTATGGCCAGAAATGGCATATGGCCGAATGCCAATACAGTTCTTCTATTCTGGCCAATCTAGCAATTCTTTAACAATTCAACAATCTATCACTGCCACTCAAAATGCTTTCTATCCTTTTTGTTGTCTCTAATGATCTCTCCAGCGCGTTTGCTCTAATTGACTGACAGTCGCGCCGCACACGGGGGATAGATAGAGACGGCTATCGGGTGTTAAAAAGAGAGCGCAGCTCTGGGGCAGAGTGAGAGGGAGGGGAGAGGGAGATGGAGCGATCGTTGGAGCGTTTGCAATTTCTGCAACAATTAGTCCAAAGATCGTTTTTGGCTTTGCCAGCAATTAGTTTGTTATGTTCGGCCCGCCTCCTCCCACTCTCTCCATACAAAGTTAGGGATGAGTTCGTGACCAATTCGATTAATCAGGGCTATAAACTTGGTAATAAACTTAATTTTTTAATATTTGTAACGGCAAATTAAAACCCTTTTGATTAAAAACAAAAGGCTATTTTAAGGGCTTTTTTAAATAGCAAAGCATCAAATTTAGAAATAGAACAAAGCATTCTTAAAATAACATCAATAGAATTTAATAATCCCCAAGGATCAATTAATCATGATAAAAACCCAATTTTTGCCTCGGCAACAACATGAATTTTGAGAAAAAAAAAATTAGCTACAAAGGTTAAATATTTAAAAGGCTTAAGATTTACTTAAGGCTTTAATCATCTAGAGAGAGAGTGCGTTATTTTTAACACGTCTTCAGCCTTTTGTTTTCTTTTCTATACGGTGTTATTCCACCTGAGTGGATGATTTACTTTCTTGTTTTATTTATAGATGATCACTTCAAGACGTTAGACTGCTCTATTTATAGAGTGGCTCTTTCGCGAGAGGAAGAAAGAGAGAACTGTTATTAGTGGCGAAGATTTGTACGAATTCCTATACGTACCTATCGCCATATAATTTTGAACTTTTTATTTTTTGCGCAAATTATTGTTATTTTGATGTCTGCATTCATTCACAAAAATGCTTAAGAGCCTCGCGCAAAATGATTAAGATGAAAGATGTTGGTTGTTTTTTTTTTTTTTTGGTTTGATTTTAAGCAGCTTAAATGACTTGGGGATCGCCCCAAGCAGGCAGTTTAAATTATATTGATGAGCTACAACCCAAAAATGCTTGCTGACTGATCTAAAAGCGCGATATAAACGCAGCCATCAACATATTTGTGTATATAAAATTTATATCCCGCGAAGCGTTTAACTTGTGTGTAAATGATTTGGGCTTTTATTTCACTTTGTTTTATGACAGCACGAGAAGACTGTGAAACACGTTTTAGAAATGCTTATCAAAAAAGTGAATGACGTCAAGAATATTTAAGCTTCTAATCAAAAATTGTATCATTTGAATTAAGTTCATTATGTTTATGAGGCAAGTTTATTTCGGTTTTATTTATTTAGGTTAATTTTTCTCAGTTCAAGAAATTTTCATACAAAATTATATTAAATTTTAAGAGCAAGAAGATATCAATTCAAATTAATACTTTTTCCTATCACAGAAGAATTATAATAGTCTCTTTAAATTGGAAATTATAGCTCCTTTTAATACCCTTGCAGAGGGTATTATAATTTCAGTCAGAAGTTTGCAACGCAGTATATATATTTTTGATCAGCATCACGATCGGAAAAATCAGCCCTTGAGAGCCCATAACTTTCTTTAATAATGCCCAATTTTTGATTGGCATAGACCCTAAGAAATATATAAAAATTGTGATATTGTTTAGCATTTATGTATTCTATTCGACTTATTTGATGACTGCAAGGGTATATACGCTTCGGTGCGCCGAAGCTAGCTTCCTTTCTTGTTCAAGTCCATCTAACCGAAACATTTTGCACAGATTATTTTTATTTATTATCGTATATCTGTTGGCTGGCCTGCAGATTTTTGCAGTTCATTGGACTGAGTCAAAAACCACGTCGCCAGTGTCTGCTGACTAAGTGAATGAGTCTTCGTGTTGTTGTTATTATTATTTTTCTGGTTGTTTCTGCGGCGCATCAACAGCGAGAAGAAAGAAATGTGGCCCAACAGAGCAAAAATAAATAAATAAAAAAGAAAAGTAAAAAAAAAATACAGGAAAAAGACAAGACGAAAAATTTTATAAGATAAATTAGCGCGATTTCCAAGATGCTTGACTTGGATCACACGCAACAAGCTCAGCAACAGGTCGAAAGTCATAATGACTAATGATTTAAATGTGGCCAGAAAATGTTTAACTCACTGATTAAAAAGTAAACCACATTTGCCATATAATATATGTACTTCCAGTGTGTGCGAATCAATCTACAGCAAACATTTATTTTAATTCCACTTTGATTGCGAAATTCCGCACCAATTATAGCGTTAATCAAAATGTGAAGCATATTTTATGGCAAGCGCTATACGGTTAACTAGCCAAAGTATGCAAATCATTTGATTGCAACTTAAATCGTTTCTTAATTAAATATTTGAAATTATCTAGACGAAGGTTAGGTTGTTCTCGTTAACTTGATCGATTGTGATATGGATTGGTTTAACAGCGCTGAAAATAATAATAAGTGGAAGGTATACATTTGATTGATAGGGTGAAATTAAAGTTTTAAAAAAAAAATAAAAAACATTTTTTTTTTAATTTTTAGCTAAATATATCTCTTGTTTCATACTTTCCCCGTGTAGTTCGAAATGAAATTGGATTTTCGGTTGCTCTAATTGAACCTGAAACCTTCCCGTAGCTATTTCCGATGGCAATTTAAATACTGTTGAACTCTTTAGTATCTTGAACAGCAATTAGCATCCAAAAGATTGCTGTGCGCTGATCTCGTTAGATGATATTCAATTTTAATTTCAGTTTCGGTTCAGTTTTGGTTTCGTGCGGGACGTGAGGCACGCACAAAACGGCAACTCCAAGACAAATTGTAGGCTCAACTACATTTATTTTCCTCATTTTGTTATTTTTTTTTTTTTTTGGTTTTGTTTGTAGTTGGAGCGGCTTAGAAAATAACGAAGCAGGCGATTGTCTGTCGGCCGGCCTTTTTGGCCTTGGCCTTGACGGCGGTTATTGGCAGCCATAAACTAAAATTAAGCGAAACATTTTCAACAAAAAATGCCACACATACAAAAAAAAAAAACACATCTCTGCAAATTGCGTAAAGAGTTTTTTAATTGCCCCCCACTGAAAAGCGTAGATCTGGAAGTTAAACAAAGCCCCAATATTCAGGCGGGCAAAACTAAAAATATGTATGTATATATTAAGTGTGGGAGCCCCTTGTGCATACATGAATATAGATTTATAGACAGCCAAAATATTTTCCCCGGATGTACCTGTTGTTGCAGGAAATTCACACGTGAAATGTTTAATTAATGAACGAAAAAATGAACAAAAACCAATAATCGAAATATCGATGGCAAAATTTAGGGGAAACATTTTGGATATTGTTATTCTTATCTAACGGTAAATTGTTGTTTTTCGTTTTCTTGTTTAGTTGGATTCAAACTGTTTTTGGCCAAGATACTTTAAGCTGATTTTATTTGATGAAGATACTTACATTTACCAGGAAGAATGGCCAATACAAACGGTATCGGTAAGTTACTTAACGGTTAAATGGGCAATGTCAAGGCAATTAAAACAATTAGATTGGCAACTTACGAAATTCCACGATTGATCAGCACATAAAGTTGTAAGATAGATGTCATCAGTAATTAATGATTTGTCATCACAGACACATTTTGGCAATTTTGTGCTAATGTAAATCGGATTTGTGCAGTAAAATAGTGTGAGTTTGCTGAGTCAAAAAATTGATTGAGATCGTAATAAAAACTAATGAACATTAGGAAAATCTCCCTCCTCTTTTCCCTTTCCAATTTTGCGATCTATGCGTTCTAACTAAACCGCAAGAGAAAAATATGATTTGTGCGATTTGAAACAGAAAACTCTGCCAGATGGTCGGCGCTTTAATTAGATGGTGTAAAAATAAGCATACACTAGGTTTTCCGTATGTACCATGTGTTATATAAACTACCGCACAACATGCGAAATTCTCACGCAACAGAGCAAGACGCGAAAAAAGAGGGAACTAGTAGACATATAATAAACGAGTTGAAAGAGCGTAGAGAAGCAAAAATTCTGGCCAATAAATTTCAATGTCACTTACACTTGATTTATAAAACCCTCGGCAAATTGAATAAAGGCAGGAGAAAAAAGGGGGAATACCAGAACTGTAAATAAAGCGAAGAAAAGAAGAGTTAATCTAATTACTTCCCCATTGATTTCAAGTGCATTTGACCGTGCTAGAAACGAACTTCCATCTTGTCTTTTTTTTCTTTTCTGATAGAAAAAAGGGTAATGAATCTATATAATTGCCACCTAGTCATTGAGCGTTAAATTAAAACTACCGATAAATACGTAAGACAATGATTGAACAACAAAGTACATATTTGAAAAGTCTTCTGAATCTCTCTGCATTATGATGCTTAAATGGATTAAATTAAAGTGCTGTTCTCCTCTGTTTTTTCGTTCTGGTAACAATGCAAAGAGGTTCTAAAAAAAAGTTTAGCCTTGTAACATTTTAATGGAGCAACATTTTGTGGCCAAAAATGGACTGCAGATGTTTGCTTTGGAGCTTGAGGCCAATGAAAAGCACTTGTTGCCAACTTGTGGTTCCTCTGATTCGGATTCAGATTCAGATTCAGATTTAGATGCCTCCATGCCACAATGAGCTTTCATTGTAATAACAAAAACGAAAAACTAAAACCAACAACGAAACAATGGACAAAGATTCTCGATGTTGTTGCCTTTTTTTGCCCCTGACTTTGTGGCATGATAATCATGTTGTTGGTTGCAACAAAAAAAGCAACAACAGAGCGATTCACACGAACTTCAACACTTGAGGCAGCAACTACAATCATGGCAGGCAAAGTGTTTGCTTTGTTGCGATACTCTATCAAAAGGGGTACTTAAACTGAGTCTACACTTTTATGAATTACGGAAAATTACAATTATTAAATCACTTAAGTACTGGGTGACTTACATCAGGTCGTAGTTCTTGAAGAGCCTTAAGATTTTCTATTTCAACTGCTAGAATATTAATTATTCGGCTTAGCCACTTTAGCTGTCTGTTTCCTTTTTTGTATTTGCAATTTACACAATAGATATGTTTAGTGGTAATATTTGCTGCAAAAATCTATTTCCATTTCAATACGAAAAGAAGAATGTTGTATTTTATTTGTATGTTTTTTTTTGTGGTAATTTGTTTTGTTTTTTGTTGCTACTCTTGCTGTTGTTCACTGTTTTTTTTTCTTGTCACGCTGCTCTGCACAAACCGGGGAAAGGGAGTGGATTTGTTAGAATTCGCAATCGTAGAATTTGTGCTAAGTACACAGAATCACAATGAATTCGAGTTTGTTCTGGTCAGTTGAAGTGTAATTTGGTATTTAAATTCCTTTGTGCGTCTCTCAAAAAACCTTCCACCTTTTCCCCTTCTTGTTGTTGTTTACAAATCATTGTGATTATTTTAAGAACATTTTTGTTAAATTACTTATAAAACTATACTCATAATAACATGCATACAAATGAGCTTTGAGAATTTTCAAGTTCGTTGCCTAAGTCTTTCGATTTCCTGCCGAAAAAAGAAAGAGAAAAAACAACAAACAATGCGGTTCACTTCAGTTCATTTCATTTCGTTCGACTACAGTTAGCCAAGCCAATTTCGCCCCTTTCCCCGGTTTCTGACCAAGTACAAGTTCTAATGAAATTTGTCAATATAAATTCGCAGAATTCCAACCAACAAAGCAACCGAAAAAAAAGGAAAAAAAATTGGAAAAAAAAGAACGAAAGCCGGGATCATAAAAATAAAACGAGTCAACAAGCAAAAGGCTTTGTTGTTGTTTACGTGTGAGTATGAATCAAATTTACTTTTTTACCGTTTTAAGCGAAAGGAGACGATGGCAAATATATATATATGTATATTAGGTGGATACATATTCATATATATATATGCGTCAAAATTTGTTGGGTAAACATATTGAAAGCCAACAAAAATTAATTTTAAGGCGAGGCACGAAATGACACTGAAAAATATATAATAAATTATTTATTTAGAGAGATAGATAGGATTTAAGAATTAGCTAATCGACATTTTGTTTTCAGTGTAAGAGATGTGTTGTATGTGAATACAAATATACATTAGTGGAACATTCGGCAGCCCAGTGGAGCTTTCAGTTCAGTCATTGTCATTCTCAAAGAATTTTTTGATTTTTTCGGGATATATACAAGCATCTCATATATACGGATCTTTATGCGTATTCAAAAAAACTGGTCAGACATGTCCAATAATGTGTGGGTGTGCTGTATTTTCGAAGCTGATCTTGGTCACTCCCAGGAGTCATTTTATTATCCGTCTTATATACTATTGAATTTTTCTTCTCAAAATACTAGTTGTCTTTCTCCAGTTTAACCCCTTCAAACTAAAAAATAGTTGATAAAAATATTATTCGAGTGCAAACAAATTGCCGTCTTATCTTGCGACATTCATCAGGAAATTCTCGAGTGATTACGATGCTGGAAATTGAACTAACAAGTCTGATGTTCAACAGCACTGCCTATAAAGCAAGTGCCTTAAATTAGATATGCGCTTAATGCGATGAAAACATTAAAAATGCATCGCAGCCGAGTCGGCTATCGAGTCAGCTCCCACGACATTGGCTTTGCTGGCACCCTATATATATATGTATATATACTATAAAGTATAAATAAAGTGTGTTTGTGGGGAGAGAACACCCCACTCAGAAGGTGCCACACCGCCGTCAGCAAGCAAAGCACCACAAAAAACAATTGCTCACCCACCGACGCCACCGCAATGAACTCATGGAATAATTATCCTATGAATGAGCAGTTTGCATGATCATTGCCAAAGCTTCCGCTTTTGTTTTTCTTCATTTTTTTTTTATTTTTTTTTTTATTTTGTTATTTTTCTTTTGTTGTTGCTGACTCGCTGTTGTTGCTATAGTTCTTTGCAATTACCGCATGAAAATGTTGCATTTAAGAGGCATTTTCGAGGCATTTTCCTGTGTCATAGACACGAGAGTTACTCACAGAATATTCCAGCTAATTCAGCGACTTTCCCATCAGTCTATACAAACATATATTTATATTTGTGCATGTGGCAAACATATATAGTATATACGTAGCGACTGCTACTATATTGTGAAGACAATTTGCCTTTTATGAATTCCGCTCATGGTAAAAGAAGTTCGACTAAGTGATGCGCATATAAATGTCGAGCACTCGACTCTGATCCACTCCGAAAGTCTGGTGTTCTGGTGGTGTTCAGGTAACGAGTGGTACATTCCTCGTTCTGCAATAAAACTATGCAAAATTATGTGTAGCATTCGCTGCTAGAACTCTCCCATGATGTTAGGTACCCAAAACTTGCGCAAATTTTCAAGCCAATGCGCCCAGTCGTCCACAAAATGATGGAAAATCCTCAGGAATTCGGTACGGCCGTCTAAAAATATTTATACAGGCATGTATATAGCCAATTATTATGCCCAGATGCAACATGCTTGCTGTTCAATATGTTGCATAGAAAACAGCTGGATGAAGTCAACGAAAAGTGAACCCTAAGCTAATCATAAATGCCAAGCATAATCAAGCATATTTTCTTAATATTTTTTCCTGCAGAGTTTCGAATTCTATTGTAATTTATGATAAGATATAAGAAGATTCTTAAATTTCCATTAGTATTACAACTGGAAATCACTTCAGGCTTAATTCCTTTTAAATTTTAATTGGCATCCTATGGTTTTTTTTTGCGTGATTTTAATTTGTGGCCCACTTGGCGGGGTTTTCGGTTTCCAAATGAGTCAGTGGCTGCATCTTGCCACCCCACCCACTCTCCATTTCTTAATCTCCAACTTCCCTTGCAAAAAAAAAGAGGAATCGGGCTGAATGTGCTTCTTCGTCCGAGTTTTGGGACCGTTGTCAGACTCGCCTCGCAATATGCATAAATTTTCGTTAAAAGAATTGCTTCGATGCGCGAATCGCGTGAACAAAGAAAAACGTTTGTCATATGATTAATGAGAAACACCCCCTCTTTTTGTTTCATTAAGCCTTTAAAATACTGCCCCCAATATTGATCACAGATGCATAAAAGGAATATTTATTAAAAGTAAAACTTAAGAGACATTCTCTTGCAATATGTTAACTACTAAAATAAATAATCAAATTTATTTTAATCCCACCGCTCAAAATCCTTGAGTGTCAATGGATAAGTGTGACAAGGATTAAAAGTATTTCGCTCAAAAATTAACCGCAAAGGGGCGGCTCCTGAGTGGGCGTGTCCACCTTGTCTGCCCAATTGAGCGTTATTAATTTGCGGTTGCTATTTGGCAGAAAACTGAAATCCGAAAGAGGAAAAAAATCAATACATTTAAATTATTTAAAGTGCAAACAATTTGAAGAACAGTTGGACGATATGGGGGAAAATTGAAGCAGTTCTTATTGAATTCAAGAATAATCATACTGAAACAAAATTGGAAGATACTTTATAGGTCTTACTTCAAAATTTTTGGGAAGATAAAGAATTTGTTTTTCAAAACCTAATTAGCTGAAGTATTTAGAGATATTTTTCTTATTATAGAAACAGTTATGATTACCCATAAGTGTGTTTTATTTCTTTCTGTGCACTCTTATTATTTTTGGAGTGGCTTTTGTCCGCATGGGCGTTGTCACAATTTGTCGAAGTCGGTTCAACGAATTTCTTGGCCGGGCGCTTCAGCCTGACCTTGAAATGATTTTCTCCTTCTCACTCACACCCCTTCTCCCCATCTCGTTCACTTGCCATCACCGTTTGCAGCTGTTGCTGACTTTCATTTGTCAGACCGTTTTCAATTTGTATTTGCCGCAATTTACTTTATTTGGCTTACGTGTGGTTTGTTAACAACAAAAACAACAGCAAATGCCAAAAACCGAATGCGCTGCAGTTTGGCATCGTCTTCGTCATCGTCGAATCAACGTCATCTTCCACCGGATCCCCATCCTCATCCTCATGTCGATCCCCAATCCCGAACCCAACTTATCATTCTCAAGCTGCTTTGCAATGAGGGATCGTGTCGTTCTGGGTTTTTCAAAGCATTCAATACCCTCTCTTAAAAGTAAGTAAAAAAATAATATTTTTTTTTTATTTCTATAATATTTTCTAAGTTTTTTGTTTTGTAAACTTAAGAAAGCAGTTTTTACATGCCACCATAATATTTTAACACTAATATTGTTAAGTAGTATTGCTTGAGTTTTATAGTCCAATAACAACCCCTTTGAAAATACCTCATTTACTTGCAACACACAAAGTGCCCAAAAAATAGCCATAAAAAAAGGAAAGAAAAATGGCTAAAAAAGCTCTGGGTTTTAATTTGAGAGCCGCGCACACACAAAAATTGTAACAATCAGCGGCGCACGAAAATAAATCCAGAATAAAATAATGCACAAAAAAAAGCAGAGCGAAATGCAGGAATAATGCCGAAAGAGGAGGAAAATGTGCGGACAACAATTTGTGGCAAGCGCACAGCTGCCTGCCTCCAGTGGCTCTCATGTTGCACCTTGCAACTGTAGCAACCACTGCGGTGGTGCAGACGAACAACGCCCCACAAACAATCACTTACAAGCTGCTAAATTGCATAATCACCCAAAAAGGAATCAACGGCCGCAAGGAGTTAAAATCGTTGACCACTGCGAGAAAAGTAAGGACACTTTAAATAAACCCAATACAGATATATTATTTTAACATATTTTTAAACTTTTTTTTTTGAGAACTAATAGTTATTGCTATTTATGATTTGAAAAAAGGATTATATGGAGTTCTGCAGGTGTTTCAAGGCTCCAAAATTACAATTTTATATATTCCATAAAGTATTGTGGTGAGGAAATCGCATTAAATTTCTTTAGGATAGTATCCATTTTTTGATGAGTGCAAAAGAGGAGTCCCCAGTTTCTTGGGTTGGCTGCATTTGCCGGAATAATTGTTGCCATTATTTGCTCAAGGAATGACACACACAAACGCAAAAACACGCCAAGATGCAGATGCAGGAGCAGCTGCTCCGATTACCCACAGATAAGATATCATAAAGCACCGCCCCCCTCGCGATGTCCCCTCCTTTTGGCCAGAATTTGCACTGATTATCTCAGCGGCGCACTTGAGCGCAATTTGCAAAGCAAACAAAGGCCAAAAGGAGTCAGAATATCTTGGCTGGATTTTTGTTCCTCCTTTTATTATTTCTCTGCTTGCTGCATGCTGCATGCTGCCACAAATGAAATGCAATCAAAATGCCGCCGCATCCACTCCCCTCTCCTCCCCCAGCCACTCCCCCTTCATCGCTCCGTCGCCGTCTCTTTCTCTTAATCTTTCTCCGTCTCTTTCGGACGCCGATCAGTGCTTTTGTTTTGCGGCTGGTCTTTAATTTATTTACACTGGCCAAAATGCCACACCCCATTAACATTAGCTGCGGACGTAAGTGCATCTGTGCACCCTGGAAGTTTATCGCTCGGTTGGAGGGGATATTGGTTCTCTTGATTATGAAATATAAATATTGCATTTTATTTAATATGTAAACATTGAAGTCATGCTTCCAAGCATTGAAAACCATATTAATACATCTACATTAGAACTTGGTTATTAGTAATACATTCCCATCAAAAGGGTAAGAAGTCTGTCGAGTTGCAGCCATCAGCATGCAGCTGTTGTAGGACTCCATTAGGGCAAAGCCTTTTATTAAATTTATGTTTGATCAACTTGCGGCGTAAAATTATTTTGCGAGATTTTTTCGTTGGTTAAATTCTCAATTTTTTGTTGTTTGTCTTTAGCCCATTCGTTTTGTGTTTGTTATTTTCTGGCCAAATGG